TGTTCAGGCGGTGGGTCCTCAGCGGGTTATGAGCTTTCCGTTCCTCTTGAGTTCGACCGGGGTCGATCAGATAATCAGAGTCGGTAGAGTGTGCTTAGGGTCTGTCATTCGATGAGCAAGTAACATGGTGATATTTTGCGAGGGTGGTCTGGCAGGGAGCCAGACCACTAGAGTTTACAAGTTCTGGAGAGTCAGATCGAGTATCGTAGCAACAGATGGGTGTCCTTTCTCCGGGTTTGAGAGTTCTTGTTTGGATTCAGGTGTCTATGGAGGAAGATAGATGTGAGGTATGAGATCCTTTCGGTGATGCTTTTAGGTTATTGGGATCAATCTATGTGTTGGCGGAAGCGATTTCAAGGGCGAAATCAAATTAAGTGGGGGAGAATTGTAACATCCTGGTTCTGAGGTATAACGTTTCTATATGTAATAACAAGTTTCCTGGGTGACTCGACGAGGTGGTGCCTCAACTCGTCGAGTAGAGTCGCAATTGGTGACGTGGATTAATGAGCTGACTCGACGAGTCTGTGAGTTGACTCGCCGAGTCAGCGCTGCTGAAGGAAACCCTAAACATTCGGGCTTGTGGCCTATTTAAAGGCACTTATAGCCTCATTTACGGCTCATCTACTGTTCAACTCTCCTGTGTGAAACCCTAGGCGGCCATTGAAGCCAGGAGAGAGTGCTTGTGCTAATATCAAGTGTTTTGATGGATCTTTTGGAAGGAAAGGAGTGAGCTACAAGCAAGGAGCGAGATGAGGCTGTGGGATCTAGCATTTCTTCACAAGGAGCTTCACTGGAAGGTAAAAAGCCTACATATTTCTCATCTATTTAGTTGGATCTCATGATTATGGAAGTTAGGGCTTTTCATACCTTTTTGTTGGAACCAGAGTGCATGGAGTCTAATAGGAGGCCTAGACTTCAGATCCGGACCTTGTAAGGTCCAGAGAGTCCAAAGATTTTAGCCTTATTCAGCCACATAAGAGCTATTATGGTTAATCACCTTTGTTAGAATTATTTTGGCATTTTAAGCATCATATGACATGCATGAACGTAAATATTGAAACTTTACGTGACATTCGAGCCTTGGGAGGTTGGATCTGGAGTTTGGGAAGGTTTCCTGCCTGGAAATCGTTCGATTAAGAAAATGGTTTGAATGGACTCGCCGAGTTGATGAGCCAACTCGACGAGTCGGTTACGGTTTGTCCCGATGAACTGAATCATGCGATAACTCGGCGAGTTGGGGGTCAACTCGACGAGCTGAGACGGACTTTCACGAGACTTATGAGGAAATGAGTGGACTCGACGAGTCACAAGGGTGCACTCGGCGATTCGGGTCAAACATGGACTGTTGACTCGAGATTGACTTCGGTTGACTTTAGGGTTGGGTCAATCATGAGTAATGGAGACCATGGAGGGGTAAAATGGTCT